TATCCGGTTACAAATGCGGAAGTACTACCACACTATCTTCCTTGGGCTTATTGACATGGATCTGATCAACGCACTCATCAGTTTTCGCCGTATTTAAGGTGACCGCACAGCTGGTTCAACTCAACCAACGCATGCGCACTTTATGCGAGCGATGCAGATATCCCCGCTGGCTGTTGGCGCATCAGATTTCGAAGGTGACGTATCGATTCGCGCGCTGACTATCACGCCGGTATTCCCTTCGCCGACTCCGAGATACAGATTATCGACAAGCCGTACAAATAAGCAAGTCAGAATGTACCGTACGCCGCGATACAAATACGGCAACGAATCAAGAAAGCGTCGACAGTACGCTTGCAAGGTATGATTGTTACTGCGACCGACGAGGGATCCATGGGAAACTACCTTCTATTCAGTCGAGTGTACCGAGACAAGATTTGCGGGGACACCCGACGACAGTTCAAGTGCTAAGAGCAATATCTATCTATGTCGAAAGGTGCGACAGCACGATCCGACTGCGGCGACACACTCTGCCACCTACAGCCAAATTTGGCACGAGCTTTGGGGAGGCGGCACTAACATTCCACCGGGGTTGAAGACGATCAGGCTGCGTGCTCCAGCAGGTAAAGGAGCGCAGGCGTCCGACAGAGGCAAAAATGTCCCAAGTGATAGCTCGGTTGGGATGTGATGGAGGGTCGCAAACTTATGGCGTTGTGCAGACCCTCATGACGAAATCAAATAAATGTGAATATACTTGTGAATGAAGGTAGTTGTAAATTTAGTTTTTTTTCTACGATTACATGAACTGTAGCTGGGAAATTCAGGATACAAAATCACCTCTTCTCAAAATACGCTGTAATACCTACGATAGATAGCCAGAAAAAGATTGTGACCCCTACAATCCTCACAAAAACTCCGCAATAGTTAAGGACTTACAATCTAGGAATGCGGTTCCGTCTGCAGAAATCTGTAGGTCATTTCGTTATCCTGTACAATACAGGATAACTTGGGTAAAAAAACGCGGGGTTAGAGGAGCTAAAGGTCGGACAGATTCGGTTCAAATTCAACCCCCTCCGAACGTCCCCAAAATTCTTATCACCGATAATAATGTCGCTGGACGGTCATTCGAGCTACTACCATTTCGTTTAGGGCACTCCTGTAAACAGCTCGTTGGGTACATCGTTACCTGCGTTCGTGGTGATGTGGAGCCCGTCACCTTCCCCAAGCGCCAGCTACAGGCTACAGACGTGTACCACGATTGCCAATTGTTACAGTTACATTGTCGCACAACCCGGGGTGATCCGGAAGCGGTAAGCTGTAGAATGAATTGATTGAGCTAGCACGTTAAACTTCCACTTGCTACTTCCTTAGGCAGCCCCTGTGGAGCCTTCCTGTCCTACGCTCAATGTCCAGCGCCATCATTAGCGCGACATGCACAATATGCGGAGCAATTATCATAGCCGTCAACAAGCGGTGAATTCTGACTTCACAGAACCTGTTCAAGGTGTCTTGGTCGTTATATGCTGCCAGCCCGTCCAGGACAAGCCCGACTGGGTGATGGCAGCGCGTTGCTACTGCTGCTTCGAGCTTGAACTTCTCTCTTCTACACTGCCCTCGAGAGCTCGAGCAGCAGGGTGGCAGCACTACATCAGCTGCTGCTGCAGACTCTCTTCACCCGAGTCCAGAACGTAGTCTTTCACCTTGTCCGGCACGCCCTTGAGTAACTCTGTAAGCACTTCCCATGAGTCCTCAATATCCTGTAGTCCGCGCCATATCACTCGTAACTCCCAGCGCTCAAGTTAATTGCTGTAGCGATGGTCCGTGAGTGCATCCACACCCAGCAACAGGCCTTGCTGAGACGTAAACTCCAAAATTTCGGCGGTCACATTGAAGTCGCGATCCGCGTAGAGCTTAAGACGAGTCGCATGTACTTCAAATTTCGGGACGTCACCAAATGTTTGATCACAAACGAGTGTGGGCGTGACTGGATGATTTGAAATGGTCCGACCCATTGCCCCAGCAACTTGTTGTTGCTTAGCCGCTGATCCACGCGTGACCAAAGAACAAAGTCTCCCACTTCGAAGTTGCACGCCGTTCCTTTGTGCGCGACCATGTCCTGCAATCGCTTACGTTCCTTTTCATCCAGGACTTCCTTAAGTAGCCCGTGCAGCGACATCCGCAGCTTTTCTAAAAACCCGGAGGCTACTTCCATGTTCACCGTAAGCAGATCCTCGTGTCCAGAGGCCCTCCGTACCACACAATCTAACGCTGAGGGCGCTTCCAGTCCGGTAAATAACTCGATTGGTGAATGGCCATTGAGAGATCGAACGGGAGTATGATTGAGGTTTGCAGGCAGCAGGTAGCTCCACCCATGGAAGTCCAGTCCATGCTCGATCAGTAGCGCCCTCATGACTTGGAACACGTCCTTATTCAGGCGTTCAACAGTCCCATTGAGCCACGGGTGATACACTGGCGAAAAGTTCTGCTGAATCTTGAGTCGCGTGCACAGGAGCTCTATCATGTGGTTGCGAAAGTGAGTGTCCTGATCCGACATCAAAGTTTCTGGATACCCAAAGCGCTTGTACCATTCAAGTAGCGACTCAGCGGCAACGAATGCCGTCGGCGACTGGCATGGAAACAACTCGCAGTAATGGGTCATAGAGTCCTTCATCACGAGCACGTACGCAGTGTCTCCGTAACTCTCGCCCAGGTACAAGAAATCATAATGCACGGCTTCATTGCGCTTGGTAGCTGTGTAGGTTGGTCCGTAAGGCCTCGTTATCTGCCTCGGGCCTTTCATATGCTTGCAGAGGAGGCAATTTCACGATAAAAAATGCCACTTTCTTGGTCAGCAACAGGAT